TTACAATTTTTTTACAATGATTTAAATTTTCTTCAACTTCCACAATACCCACTTTAACATGTCTAATACATCGAACAGTGGTTAGATCCTAAACATTCACGGACAAAGACACACGCTCGTAAATTATAAGCATTATGACAATGTGATATTATATTTAAATGTATAAGTATTGTTCTAGTATTAAGAACCATAATAATTAATGCGTAGTTAGGTTAGGTTAGTTTTTGTGACATTAGGTATGATTTGTCTGAGGCCCACAGATTACAATAGTGACCCGCTAGCAGCCATTCATAGACAAATACCGAGGATTCGTTTACATTATTATTTTTTTCCACTTTTCACCTTAAAATTGGCTTTAAATTTATCTTTTTACATCCAGAACCATATAAACATCTTTTAGTCATTTATAATATTTTTTTATCTATATAATCGGTCGACCGTAGCGCCGCCCCACGCCAGCGCCGGAAAACTTTTTATTTACAAATGGTTAATGCTCCTAAACGTTTTATATCCGACACTATTCTTAAAATTAAATACAAAAAACGCATGACCTCCTAAAATTACCTAATGCTCATTTTTTCCCCCCCGTCTTCTTCGTCACCGTTATAATTTATGAAATTTTGACCATTACACCAACTTTTTAGAAATATTCAATACAAAAATACTCTTTTCGAATAAAATTTTTTACAAGACTCGTTTATAGCGCCGGCGCGGGGGTGGGGCGGTGGCGTGGCCACCGCGAAAGAAAAGCTTTGAGCCTCGTAACCTTAACATCATGAAATTTGTACTAAATATATCGAAACAGGCGGACGCGGGCCTCTACCACTTAGCCGAAATGCGAGGACATCGAAAGGAACGCCTAAATTCTAAACTCTCTTACTCCAAAGGGCGACCCCCTCAGCCCGGTAGTGCACCAACCTCGGACTGAGGGGAGCGCCGCGCTTATAAAATGTAATTTTGAATTTTAAATTTCGTCATAAACATTTTTTTTAAATTTATCACCTTCGAGGCCACCGCGTCCGCCGGCTGTAATTTACAAATATATTATACGTACTGGCTCAGCGGCGGAATGCGCTTCGCCAACAAAAAAAAAAAAATCGAAAGTAGGGAACAACACATCCTAACGTACAAACACACAAGAATACAGAAATTAACGTATCGCTGTTACGAGTGAAGACCACAAGGATATTGAAAATATTCTTTTATCCACTATTGGTTACTTTTCAATACAAAATTTACGAACGCTCCATTAACGAACGGTCATCGCGCGTTAGTTCTCTTTTGGCAAACTAACAATGTCGGGCGTTCGTTTTTAATCTTACCTAACATTACAGATAAGACAATATGTGGGCAGTTTTTGTTTCGAGACCCTCTAGTAGTGTATCCGTGCTCAATTTTGATATTTCACTTTCTTTATTATTTTAATATTAACGAACGGTACTTATCTTGTAACTAACTAATTTTCTGCATTTCACTTATTGAAACTTCTCACATATAGAAAAGTCGATACAACTATTTGGTACAATCTAAATGTTCTCTAACCTCCAAAACGAAACACTACATACAATAGAGTCTATTACAATTTCGAAAAATTTAGGAACCATAATACCCAAACGTGAAACCAAATATATTCTACATATATTGATCTTTTTTTTTCTTCCATTTCTCGTTTATAATTTTGAAAAATAATTAGATATTTCGCATTTCACATCGACGATTCAAACATTTTCTTTTTTTAGACGGATTCGAAAACACTAGAAAGGAAACTTCAGACACAATCTCGTGGAACATAAATAAACTATCACCTACGCACAAAATGTCGAAACGATAAAGAAATGACGTTGCCAAAAGGACATTTCTCTTCATAAATCTACAATAAGATACATATAGTTACAAATATGAGCATTTTATAGTCAACACCGAATTTTGTACTTTCTCAGCGGGTAAAGCCGCCACGATCACTGTGGACTTAATATTTCGATGTTTCAAACTTGAGTCTTTACATTATTAATATTTTTTAAATTTAACTTTAGAAAAATTGTCAACCGATATCTTGGAAATAATCGGAATTTTTCGGAAAACTTCAAAGTCGGCACGATCTTCAATTATATCCATTGTGGTCTTGTTGCGGATGCACAGTGATTCACTCAAAGTATAAAATCCGGACAGAAATATAAATACTGTTGATTGTTGTAATAACAAACTGAAAGGTGGATTATGATTTCATTGTTAACCTTGTCTGTGTCATCGTGAAAAGAAAAACGGCTCCGAGTATCTGCGAATAACAGCGTGTCATTTGGACTCTGTTGATAGGAAATCAATACATTTCTATTGTAATATGTGTCTTTGTAGCCTGCTTTAACATTACTATTAGATATGAAGAAATCTATGGAGAGATCGGAATAACGAATTCATTACTTACTATACAATGAATTAATTGCGATACGGGGCGCGCCTTAGCCGATAGCAGACGAAGGGCCTACGTCAAATCTAGCCTGCGCCCAGGAGTTTCAACTAGTCAATAGTCAATTCCATCGCCGCCGCTCTACTCCCATCGGCTATGGAGCGCCGCGCCCTATTGTACGAACGAAACGTTTAACATCACAACAAAAACACAATCGTCAACTTAACACGGAACTTGCGTTCACGATAAAGCCCAGCGGCGACTGACACGTCCCTTGGAAAATCAAACCGGGCTATTGCTGATTGGGGGTGTGGGCGGCGCCCTGTGGCGCCGTGAAATGGGAATTCCGAACTGAAAACCGGACTCTCGAACGGCATAAAGGGGCTGCGTTTCGGTAACCTATGTGTCAATGTCTCGAGGGCACCACGTCACTCGACCCTCACTACTAACCTGAACTCTACTAAGCACACCAGTCGACGCCTGGTCCATCCTAAACTGAGGTACCTCTTACATTACCGTAATAGTTTCAAATGGTTACTTAATAAATTAACGACAACAAAGTGTAATACCAAATGAAAAATGCTTACATCCTGCTTAGCTAGGGCCGACCGCCCGCCCAGCGCGGGTAATACTCGAAACTGAGGATGGCGTAACATTCACGGTAACCGCAAAACAATCGCGACGATCCGTCATTATTGTGCCTTAATAAATAACCGTTAGCGCTAAGATAGTTTACATCGTAACGAACACTCCAGTAATAAAGTTATTTTATTATTTACACCGTCATTACATCTCTGTACACTACCCTATAATATTGTAAACGCTATGACAAGCGAAAATATATCTTACGTCCTGTCGAACTAAGGATGTGAAATAATGGTTTGTTGCCGCGTTGCTGGGTGGTCGGCCGGCTTGTCTACATGTTATAACAAATACACTGAGATAGCGGCCGAAACGGCCCCACCGAAGGAATCTCTATCCCACTCTGCAGCTGCTTTCAAACACTTCACGCCTCCGAATTCCCTACCATTCGGTGGTGTCGCATCGACCGCCCTACGTATATCTACGAATGGAACTAATTATTCTTCTATAGTATAAGTAAGTGTATGTATACTGCTTGTTCGATACGGCGAACTGCAACGCGCGGGCGATTTTGTGCGCGGACGTCTCGCGGCCATTTTGGCGGGAGTTTGAAGGCAATTCGTGGTTATTCTGTCAATTTTTTTCTTAATCGTTGTATTATCAAATAAACTGTATATGTGACCGAGTAAGCTTTTTGTGCGTCAACGTTATTGGTTTTTTATTTTATTTTACCTTCAATTGAATGTGTACGGCCGCGAAACGTCCGCCTGCGGAGCGATAGCTGCACAAACTGTTGCCAGTACGAAGAAGTTTTCGGACGAAAATCTATTTTTAAAAAATTTGAAAATGTATCTCACTGTATAATGTAATAATTATATTAAGTTTTGTAGTGTAATTACTATATAGGTATCGTTAAATAAGAGTTTATACGTGTGGTTGAAATGTAAATAGTTTTATTATCCCAGAATAGTATATCGCCTGCCATTGCTCCGCAGCAGCACTAATAGACTGGATCTTTTACACCCACGCGTTGACATCGGAATATAGTATTTTATCTAATAAATAAACTTAACCCTATGTCCGGAGCGAGATGGCTCGCAGATGTTCCGGACCAAATGAAATCGTCTTGCCGAACTCTGCCGAAACATTTCAAAATACAAACAAGGATGTTTACATTAATCTCAACTCAGGATGTTTAAATAATTTTTCGAATTTTGATGTCTGCTTAACATTTATCACTATTGAAAAACCTGCACGAACATATAACCGGCTATCAGTATAAAAATAATGTTTAAAATCTTTGTTTGTGGATCGAAAAATAACCCTGCTCTATTGTACTAATGTCTATGGTTAACGTTAATTATTCCTAAAATAATTATGACGAGGTAAAGGTTGACAATTTTCGGCCACACGAGGCGTGCCAACAAACAAATATATAAAATGGAAAGCGAAACAAAAAACATATAACGCTCGAAAGGACAAGGATATATAGGTAAAAAAAATCAAATAAAAACAACAAAACATCAAAACTTAAGCAGTTAATATATTAATCGATCTTTTTTCCCCTTAAAGAATAAATCAATAAATGATTTTAAGATATACAACTATAAAAACCATTTAAGATAATACTTAATAATATAATAATAATTATATATAGCGAAATATATTATGTGCAGAAATAAAATTCTAGGTGACTTAAAATTTTCTCTTACTCGTATAACCTAATGAATTTCCTAGTGGAGAGCGGTCGCCGAGAACCGCGCCGCGCCACGCCGCTCAACTTACAAATTTCCCCTTTGTATTCAAGTTTTCCTTTTTTTAATACTTCGTCAACAATTCATTAAACAATTCTTCTTCTTCACTAATCAATAATTTCGAATCTGAAGGCCTAAATGCGAGTGTCGTAGAATTTTGGTGTGCGAAACGTTTGCCGTACGAACTTCTGTCCGCTGCGGGTGGCTCAGCGGTGTGCCCCCGCTTAGGGGGGCGCGTGCGTCGCGGCGACGCGGGCTCATTCGAGCTGTTCGAGAAAGTTCGGCGACTTGAAGTACTCGGGCACGGGGTCGTCGAGCCGCGAGATCACTTTGTAGATGGACTTCTTCCAGCTCTGCTCGGTGTCCTTGCCGCCCTGGATAGCGCGGAAGAACTCGCGCAGCGTCTGCTCTACCACGTATCTGAAGTTGGGCGGGACCTGCGGGGGCGGAGGCCGCTTTGTTAATCCACATGTTTGCCGGCGCCCTCTTTCTGCCTGAAATTCGGTTACCTTTCGAGTGTCTTTTCACGTTAAAGTGGGACGGTAGTTTTGAAAAGGCCCCGCAGGAGACCAGCATGAAGTGGAAGTGTTATACTTTCGCGTTTTCTCCGATGAGCAAGGTAGCCCGGGCACATTTGGAGGTGGACAATGCATATGCCTCGGGTGTTGTAGATGTCCATAGTAGCGGTGATGACTTAACACACGGGTTAACCGCTTAGGTACTTACTTTTCACATAAAGAAAAAAGAAAAAGGACTTGTGTTGGAGAGAGAGGTTAGCCTTATTTGCTATTGCACCTACTCTATTTCTGAAGTAGAGAATCATAACAAATTGTCTGCATTGAATAAATTGTGATAGTCTTTAGACTTCTACGAATTTGTAGCGAAATCACAAATAGAAGTAGTAGTCTAGAGAATAGAATAGTAGAGATGTGAGAAGTAAGGTCATGCAAATATAACATCTGATTTGAAATAAAATAAAGACGCTCATCTTGGTGGTAAATGAAAGGAAGGTTTTTATGGTTGCATGCTCACCTCGATGTGGTTATTTCTGTTGTAGTGCAGATTGAGCACCCTGTACAGCTCTGAGTCGCCAGCTACGTGGAGGTCATCTGCGGCCTTCAGGCCTTCGCTGATCGCCTGTCGCGCGTACTTTTCCATCTGGATGTAGTAGAACTCCCTGGAAGGGGCAAAACCAGGTTCAGAATAAGAACGAAGAGCAAGAACAATGGCAAGATGTTTCGTCTATTTCAAATATTTATTTTTATTTAAGGATAGCCTCAGACTTATCAAGTCATATTAGAGTAAAAATCATAATCTCTCTTGTCTCTCTTCACTGTGCAAATATTCAATGACAAGGAATGTGTTCGTTAATGTCAGTGCGTTGGTGGTATTCTTGTGTATGCCTTTGTCATACCGTAGAGATTTTGGAAAATGCCATACATGTAACTATTACAATATGTAACACTCGAATAACAAGCTTTTGCTCAGTAGCACGTTTAATGAAGTCAAGGAAATGACATTGAAATTTAATACTTTGTCACGATTACGGCACGATTGATTTAAGATGTAAAATGAAATGTTTCGGACATTCAAGATACGGAAATTCTTTGCTGGTGTATTCTTTCCTGTGCCGTGGGCGTCGTACCAATACACGGAAACCGGCAGACGCGGTGTTCCCTTTGCTGACATCTCGCCGGCGGGTGCGCGAATTTCAAGATACGGAGATTTGCGTCGTCGCAAATCAGCTCATTAGGGGCCCGTCGCCTCTGACGCGGCGCGAGAACAATCCGGGCATCCATCGACGCCAGCGTCACCGATACACGACGCACTCGAGGCCACAATGGCACTCCGGCGCCGGCGGGGGCGGGAAAAGGATTTGATTAGCCATTTTCGCTCGCGCGCGCCATCTTCGCTGCCGCTCCGCTAACGAGTGGCCCGGATCGAGAGTCTCGCGGGGCTAATTACTTACCCGAGTTCCGCATTCAGACGGGCTAATTCAGTTTTTTTTTTCGCTCTCCCCGACGAGCGCTCGCGACGCGTCCGCCTCCGCGGGAATTGTTGACGTCCTTTTAGGGTTCGTTGCGGACTGTTTTTAAACGCGTGAGGTTAACGTGGCGGTTTGTATATCTTCGTTCGATTCCTCAGCAAATAATTAGGTGGAGTGTTCGGCCTGAACAGCGGTTCTTAGGTATTCGCGAAATAACGACAGCACAAATGTTTGACACCTAATTAAACCGTTTCCTTAAAGATTTTCCCTAAAGTACGAATATTATCAGCGTAAATTATATAATGTACTACAATATAATTCCGACGATGACCACGTAATGTAAAGGTAAAATTGTTAAATAATTTCGAAGGCGATAAACGATATTTCACCGAGTTTAAAAAAATAAAAACCCAAGTAACATAAGACCGAGTAACATAAGTTCTGCAGTTTTAAGAAATCCATAGTGAGAAATAAACAATTATGCTTTTGCAAAATATTCTTCTTGGCAAAATTATTCTGATGAAACGTGCTTTTAGAACAGCAAGCGATTAAATGGTGGGTAAAATAGCTTTCTCTTTTCTCTTAGTTTGTTTAATCTGTGCACAAAAATCCGCGGAACTGCCAATCATGTAACAGCCAGCTATCAATCGGGGATCATCTCTAAGCCACTCGCGCGAGCGAGAGCCCTCAAGCCTCTCGCTCGCACGCCGGGGGCCTCTATTATTTTTTAATTGGCACTCGGCGCGAGATCGCAGCCTTACTAATTGAGTAAGTAAATGAAGTGTCTAAATAATTAGATGTCTTTTTAGCTAGTGCGAGAGTCGACGCCGCTCTGTGCTATGCGGTGGTAACAGGCTCGCTTTCATCCAATTAAAAGTTGTCCGACTAGGTATGTGTATATAAGGAGTGTGTTCGCGATTGAATGATTTACGACGCGAATTCATCAGTCTGCCTAACCACTACACGATTTTTTTTTGCTCGCTCGTGCAAACTAACTGCACTGGTTTTATCACGAAACGGCCACTTTGAAGACACTGTCGCGAGTGTCGTGATATTGTTAATGCATAATTTTTCAGATATAGTCTAAAAATCATAAGACCTATTGCTTTTTTAATTATACCTCCAATGGGTACTCATCAAATCTTGCCGACTCTAATCTTTTTTACCGCCAATTAATTTAATGAAAATTGTACATTAATTGGTTTAGAGTTTGGTTCCTTTATATTTCAGATGAGATAAGGGCTATAATTTAGTAACATTTTAAATATTCACGTCGCTACACCACTAGTATTGGATCATTAAAGTTGATAATTCACAACAGATGTTTATAAAGTTACACCATTGCTTATAAGTGGGCCCTTTCGAGTGTTCATGAGTGGTCTTCAAGACATTTAATTACAGATTATCGACGCAACTGTCAAAGCATTTAACTCCACAATAAAACTTAATGTATGCTGGATGTGTGAACGGATTCTGTATTAGAGTTCCACTACCAATGGCGCTTGATTATTAATAATTATTTTAAAATATTAACTCTGTTATAAGTACGAATCACAAATTTATCATCTGAATAGACGTCGATTTATTCGAATTTAGAATTTTTGGAAACGATATTTAAATACGAGTAATAAGAATTTCTGTCGTTTAACGATGTTACGAATAGAAGTTGATATTGATTACGTAGTTTTTTAGTAGTTTCCAATAATTTGTACTTAGTGAGTGTTGCCGCCTTAAAAATCTTAAACACGGCTTAATCATTATACGAAAGTGTGTCGCAGCAGCACAAATTGGATGTACCACTTTTCTTATTTTTTTTCTATTCGCCCACCGTACAAAAGCGACGTTATTTGTAAGCAATCAACGTTCCACGCTTGGCATATGTGCCATGCGGGCGCCGGATTCGGGCAAAAAAGAAACTGTGAAGAAAAAACTAGGCCCTAGCTGCGTTACTATGGACGCGTAATTGTCGCGTTCTTATTTATAATTTAAAAAAAGAACAACGTTTAACATTATCTATTAGATAGATGATATCAATAGATGGCGCGGATGACGTTTCGAATTGTCAATTGCTATCGACTTAATTCAGTTCGAGTTATGATGAAGTTAAAAAATTGTTTAAATTTTACAACGCTCTCTTGGAATTTATAGCGTCTTATTGAATGTATATGTGTGTGTTTAATAATCATAGGCTGCAAAATCCAAGTTGGATACATTTGTAACGTCGAATATAAAAAAAAATTACGTAGCCACAAGCGAAACCGTTACAGTGGGAATCAGCTGTTGCTATTGTTCCCGCATACAACTTAACGCATTTTGGCAGTGCTGAACGTTTAACGAAACCTGTATTTTATCACATAGATTTAAGACCTAAAATTGTCTGAGGGTCTTTTATATTAAGCGGGTATTGTGGTATTTCGATATAACATGTATTGGCAGTTATGTCGTAGGGAACAAGGAGTAGAATCCCATGCCTACATTCATCATTGTTTCCGATTCTTAAGATTTCGCATCTTGCGTCTACCTGGGGCCCAGCGTCTTGGATGTCATTGTTTGCACTCGGTCGGGGTTTGTGCCGTTTCTTACGGCGAAGTTCACACAATGGCGGAATGTGCCGAACTGTGGAAGAGTTCCTTCCCGCCGCCGTTCTAAGTTTTATTTTAAACAAGTTGCGGATACTTTGATTGAATGATTCATTTGTAATAAAAACTATTTGCAGATGAAACATTTACAATAATGCCAATTTACTATTGATGTATTTAGCGAAGCTTTTCTAGATAGATATCTTTTAGAAGGTTTATAGGTACGCCGTACGAAGCATATTAAATAATTCGTAGTTTTCGAACCGAGAAACACAAAATTAGTTTCATCACGACTTCTGAAACGAATCATGGTCAAAAAGACCTTCGCAGTTAGTGTGTTTAGAAAAAAGGATCATCAGCATATATTTTGTGCCAAACTAAGGCCGCAGCATACGTCAGGAGAATGGCTTCAAATGACTGTTATTCGATCCGAGGAAACTCTTGTTTTTCAACGAGGGCCCCATGAAGTAATAAGTATGAAATTTGTTCCAGCTACGTACTACGTGGCAACTTTATTGTAAGTGTACGAAGTAATATCATAATAATAGATATAATAATAAACTAATTACCTATTTTGACTGTTCCCTTATCTTTAATAAAGAGTAAGTAGAGTCTTAAAGTAGTTAGAACATCCGCCTATTGGTGAAAGAGTTGGCTTTATCTATCTAGTATTAAGACAGTTTCTGAGAAATTGGTGTCAATACTGAATACCAAATAACTTATACCCACATAAGCCCGTATCTTTATTTTTGACTTCTACCGATTTTTTTTTCGTTCTGCAAGCATAATGTAAGACGTGGAGTAACACAAAAGGGAGCTCGAAATCTTGTTCGTAGCACTTTGTGTTAGTCCCCCTTAAGAAATGCTTCGATTCCCGTGTGAACCTGATGGCCACAGAGTCACAAATGTTTAGAAAAAGACACCATTTTCGAGTGACGCTTTTATAAAATATTAAATAAAATTGTTTACATTCCTTGAATAGTATTTTATTTAACTTCATGTAACAATACAAATAAAATTTACTGTCCAAAATTTTTTTATAAAATAGTAATTGTTAAATAAAACGAATTAATAAAATCATCGTGAGTTTTGAATAATTATTATGGTGTGTCGATTGGTGTTTAAAGTAAGGTATTTCAATGTCCTTTCTATACGTAGCTTAAGTCTATTACGAAGTCGGGATAAGATGTTATAGGGTCAGATTATTGCCTTTTTTTCTCCCTTCTTCCCTTCATTGTTGACGCTAACGGTGCAAAAGTGAAATCTCATTGTTCCGAACCAGAACTCCGAGTTACATACTTAGCCGTTACATTTGAATCTTGAGGGAATTCGATTTTCAAATAAAGCATGGCAGCAATGAAAAAAGGGCGAATTTGTTTTTTTTAAATGGCAATTAAAAAGTATTCGCCACATAAAGCGGTACAGTATAAAAAAGCATATAGAGAACAATGTTAACAATTGATATTTATTTATTTATTTATTTATGTGATAGCCTTCCTTGATCTTCCATCGTCCTTTTTTCGTGTATAAATGGTATAAAGTTAACAAAAATGTTTGCAATATTCAATATGGGGTTACGTTTTTAAGACTTAGTTTTTGTACATACTTTTTTTACGGAAAGCTTACAATTTTTGTATCATAGTAGGTATTAATTACACAATGCAGAATAGCGAGAGAGAAAAGAGAGCTTTATTACATGTGTCTAAGTAAATGTCAAAAACGAAAAATTAGGTTTAAAAACACGAAATTAAATCGACAAAACATGTCCGCCAATCCGCAGTGGTGGAACAATGTGCTATGGGTATTAGTTACCCTGTACAGAGGTCTTTGCCCAGTCGTGGGACACAAAGGCTGTTACTTTAAATCGACAAAACCCCAAAGATAGTTTAATATAACAATTTAAGTTAAATCGTGTTTAAGTAATCGTTATGCAAACATGTTTAAACATCAAATATCTGTTCTCAACTTAATGATATTTCAAAGTAAAATTTTCTTTACGATATAGGCTTATTTTAAGCTCTTATTGAACGCCAAAAACTACCGCCGGCTCACTAAACTAGACTTGTCCAAAGAAGAATCGGCAAGAAACTCTGCGGTCTATCTTTTTTTTTATTCTTATGCATATTTTGTTCCTAACACAAAACAGAAAATTGCTTGACTGAATTTATTTTTCGTTTGTTTTTATCCAACGGCAGAGTTCTATATTTGAATTATGTATTGATTTTGTTTTGTTTACTGTAGTATGTATGATATATTTTTTTCTTTCACTTTTTATTAAATTTATTTTATTGTTGCGTGCGTCCTATTTTTTTTAATATTCTTTTTCTTTATAAAAATAAGTGTACGTATCTTATTGCGACTTGTTCCTTACATAAAAATAACACTTTTATGGTTGACTTTATTAAAATAAGTGTACGTATCACTTGAGGTGGTTAGAATTGGCACGTACAATATGTCTTTAACGGTAGTCGGCCTCATGCGGGTATTTATACCGTTGCAAATTGAGAAACCGCGCGAAAGAAACTGAACACATATTTTCACATTAGAAATATAGATAGCAGTTTTGGTTGTTTTTCAACAATAGAGCATGAGAGCAGGTTTGAGTAAAGAAAAGGAAACTGAACGGAGAATCGGTTCGCGTTGTGTATTACATTTTTTGGCATATGTTTTGCTTCATGTTTTCTCACCCGTATTAGACTTATTGCGGAGTTGGTAATGCTTTTATTACGTTATTTTTAAATTTCTCATTCGCCTGACTAACCCCAAAGGGCAATTTAATTCTTTACGCTGGTTTACAGGTACAGTTATTTCAGAGTACATATTTTTGTATAACGTTTATGAGAAAAAAAAAAATTAAAAACACATGTTGTCGTGTTCTCACTACGCATAGAGGTCGTTAGTAACATATAACACACGAACAATTTTCGATCATACTTTGTTTTTAATGCACAATTTCTGTTTACACAGAAATTGTTCAACGGGCGTTTCGTCCATCACTCTCCGTTCAAATCATCTATTATCGAAAATCCAAAACGCTTTATTAAACGGCAACAATGTGGAGTCGGTGAATAGTCGGCCGGGCCGAAATCGCGCGCTTAGCCGCAGCGGCGCGTCGGCGGGGTGCGGAAAACGAAATAGTTTCCAGACATTTTCCCCGCGCGCTCATTTCGATCGTTGCCAAATACAATGGTTATTAAAACCTGATGCGGCCCGGAGTCGTTCAAATGATACGGGGAGGCATTACGCGCTGTGTGCCCGCGCCCTTGTGTGCGATGGACGCGCGGTCTGCGCGGGTGGGGCGAGTCCGGCCGTAGAGGAGAGTGGGCCGCTGGACGGCGGACAGAGCGCCGAAAGCTGCAGAGGGCGCGCGAGTGACCGACGCATCTATAGACGTCCAACTTTTCCGGTGCTATTGCGATGCTCATAATCTGCATTGAGTATATATAGTATTGCGTGTGAGGAATGAAGGTGCCGGAGTAGATAATGAAATACTTTGTCATTACGATGTGATATGTTATGATCGTGAATGAGATTAGTTCGTTTTGCGTTTGTCAGTCGAGAATCGAGTTAGTTTTTGACATTGAGCAATGAATTACATTTTAATTTTTGTTTTCAGCCCGTGGATTATATATATAGTATAGTTATAGTATAAAGTATAAAGCTTGTCAGGCGCCTAGTAGACATTGCTTCCCTAAGTTTAAAAGCCTTACAGCGTTGCTTGAACGGGGGTAGTTACAGTTGTCATAAAGTTATAACCGGTTACCTTATCGTTGGCAACTGTAGATCGGTTTCCGATCACCTAACACAAGGTAAACCTTCGAACACAAAAAAGGCTCGAAGATCGCGGCGGTTCAGTGTACGTAGGCGCGTGCAGCCTCTGTGCATTTTGTGCAGTCTGTGCGAAAGTTGCACGGCGCCGCGCACACATGCAAGCGGCGCACACAGGCGGACGTGAAAGCGAGTAAACTAATACCGGCCCGGATTAATGCTTCAGTTAGTGAAAAAAGTTTTTTTTCAGACTGCGCCGTCCGACGCAGGGCCGCACTCAGCTGAATTATTATCTCGTTTAGGAAGGGCAGGTACGCTCTACGATCGAATGCGATTACTTGGCAAGGGGGCATTCGTGTACTGTAGTGTTAATCGCGACATAGGTAAAATAAACAGGTAGATCATCAGAAGATCAAAGATATTTTAAGAATCATCATTAATATTGCTTTTTCCTTTTTTTTCTCACATAAATTTCTTTTTACATGGTGTGGAACTAGGTGACATTGGCGCTAAATTAGTTCGCCGCTATCGAAGACAATAGTCATCTTGGCTGTTATTCCATTGAAACTGTTATAAATATACCATTAACGGTGTAGTCTGGAGCAATGTCGTAAGTACATTCCGCGGGGCGCGCGCGATGCGGGCCGCAGACGGTTATCTCTGCCTCCATACATCGCCCAGGCGACTTTCTCGCGAATAATTCCCCTTATCTGGTAACGGGAAATACACAAGCACGGTGTGCAGTTCAACGACCCGGCGTACTAAAATGCGAAATTATGACGCTAACTGATACGCGAACGTTCGAACCACCTAAGTTTTGATCGAGATCACCGTAGCGCACTATGCTCCTGCAAAAATCGTTCCGTTCCATTTTCAAATTTGTGTCATCAATCCAACTGAACAAACGAGCGTCTGTCACCGTCGGCAGCGTCCGTCTGACAAGTTCATTTTTCCATGACGGGCTTGATGAGGTTAGGGAGGCGAGCGTAATTCCGCCCAGAAGATTCGATTGCCGTTTGAGAAAGGGCCGTTTTTAGGTCGCCCCTAGTTATCTATACCGTAGACGATTAAAAATCTCGGTTGTCATCTTTTACTATTTCCAAAAACTAAATTTTTTGTAGCTATAGCTACGGAGAAATACGCCTTTTTATAATTCAAAAGACCGCATTCGAATACCGTGATAAAGACACATTGCGATAATCGAACCTGTAATAGGAATCTGGGTTACAGACCATGAGGAAATTTTCATTGAATAATTTCCAATATATCGACTTCTGATCAATAATCCATTGTAGATTAGAAAAAATTAAGCTCCAGCTCAGACTAAAATGTATAAAAACAAAAACAGTCGAAAACAAAACATGAACACAGATAAATAAGGCAAAAAGCCCAACGCCCAGTGCGGCCCTGTTTAATGACTCCCTCCTCACTGACCTGCCTCTGTCTTGTACCCCACGCTTCAAAAGTTCAACTCATTCGAGTGCTCGCGGAGATTTTATTACCCCCCAACTATAGTCGGTATTAAATTTGAAAAAAAAAAAGGGTTAAAGAGACGCGTGGACGTTTCCAGACGGGCTCGGGGCTGACCAGTTCACGGCTGCTCGATTTCAGCATCGGTCTTTTGATTAACGCTTCGATACAGTCTCGAAAATCGTGGAACGTTCTGTTTTCCTTCTGTACGTGCTCTTCTGAGCCTGGCGCTGAGTTGCACTTAACAGTAGCATCCCAAAAAGTATAGTTACGTCCGACGGTGGTTCTCGACGCCAAAAAATAATCGTATGCTAGGTTGTTTAGGCGTTTCGCCCGGGCCGTTTTTTCGAGTATACGATTTAATTTGGCGAAGTCTCGGACGATACGTCGGAGGATACACGGTGGGGATTACATAAAACTCTTATTTACGCACCTTATACATTGCTGGAAATTTGCTGCCGTTAGAAATAAATATTGGCTTTAGTACAGAGCATTTGTTGTCCTCTGAATGTGAACGACGAAATGAAAATCACGTAGGCAGTTATCGCGACGCGATGTTATTTTAACAATACTACTCATGCTATTACGATAACCTAAAAAGATATTTGAAGCATTGAAATTGCAATATTCGTGCACGTGACATGAAGCTTCTTTGTTCTTTAAATAGAATCAACTATCGGCGACGAATTAGATACGCTCAAACACATGAGGAATGTTCGAGACTAAATACGGGAGACCGCATTCCGCGTCGGGTGTATCACAAACATCTCCGATGACGCTATCATCAGGTGAACCGTTTGCTCGTGAAATCGTGGTGAAAACTTACTGACGAGCAGATGGAGGTGTCAGCATGTCACCCATCATCATCATCCTGCTCTGATCCCACATAAGTGGGGTCGGCACATGTAAATTATGTTGAAAGTGGTTTTGGCTAGGTTTTTTACGACCAGCTTGACGTCAACCACCTTGGGAACCAACAAGCAGATCCGAAATAGTTATGTGGTATCATCGTCACTACCTTAACCAATAAAGAGAAAACGTGAAAACCGCTCATAAGCCAGCAACGTAATCCGCAACGCAGCCGCGAAAAACAAAGCCGTTCTCGCGTCTAACAATAATTACTTTAGTGACGGTGAGCCCATTGTCGCCTTCAGCTTGCCTTTCGCCCGTCCACTCGTCTTATTTCCCACGGGGCGGGTGCATTGCCATTTATTACTAAGATTTCGCACGTGTCGCGTTTCTGCCCGCCTTACCCGGCAAGCATTTCCCGGGCAATGACGCCCCCATTCAGCCGCCTATGAAATTACGGACAATGAGACGCGGCGTAATATTTTAATGCGCAACGGATGCGTATTGACTTGTTCGCGCGGCCTGATATCTTTTTCAACGCTCCCGGCGACGTGTGTTTGTCGCGTTCGCGTCGCGCGACGTTTTTGAATATGGAATATTCACTTTTTAAACGTCCCAGCGACTTGAATCAGAACTCTTTCGGAAAATGTGGTATATAACAATAAAAATACTGGCAGTCTGATCAGCACGCCATATGACTTATGTATGAATTAAAAAGTGAGTTGCTCATAAATTCTAATTTTACCAAAAAATAGGTACATAAAGCATATATTCCTTAACAGTTGCATCGGTTGAATATGAATAGTAACACAGGTGATTTTAATTAACAGCACCATGTTACTAGCGGTTTACTTAATGGAAGATTTTATGTATTTCTTTCATACATGTACCTTGTGCTGTCATGTAAAGATTTTTACTTATTAAAATTATACACGGACAAACACGTAGATCGGTAACAATTGTCTATGGGTCACACAAATACTTATCACGAGCGGGAACCGAACCCACACGCGAAAGTCGAAAACGCCAAACGAGGTATTAGAAATCGCAATCGTCTTACTTTAGTCGTAACACTGATGATCATTTTGAGTTCGACTTGACCAAACAACCTCATTTATAATGCTGGCAACGTTTAAAAAAAAACACGAAGCTCGACATTCGAACAATAAAAAGTCGCGTGACGCAGAAGTGGAGTGAAACACACGAAAATGTCTCCCCGTTTCCGTGTTCCATTTCGCACCTTAATTAATTATGTCTTAGGGCGTGTGGGAGAGTCGTCAGTTAGTTGTGGCACTTAGGTAATTTCCCATGTGTGGAGCCTACGGCGCGCCTTTTTCGCCTCCGCCCGCACGTTCTGTGTGATTTCTTGTGAATTGACTAACGTGGCGATCTTTGCTGACAACGTGGTACTCGGTTTCAATGGTCAAAACCAAAAAGTTTTATGTATACTAATAACTATTATGTCAATTAACGTGGTTTGTAATTATTGTGTAATAGCTGCGGTTAATAACATTGATAATTATTAGTCACAAAAGCACCCTAGTAATCCTAAGCATAGTGTTTGTTTCTCTAACCTTTAATTGGGACACATGTACTATAAAATGATTAGTACAGGCGATGAAATCCGTTACGCTGCTGTATTACTGATGAACAAATATAGAAATGAAACAATCATATTACAATTATTATGAAATTCTCAACAATACATTCAACAAAGGAGGAAATTGCGATGGATTCTTGCGGAGTCCTTGAGCGGACCACTTGCGTTCATTGAAAATAAGTGTCTACGGAATGTAAAGCCATTATAAAACATCCAATTAAAATAATAAAATGTAACGGCAACGCGATACAAGTCGTACGTATGGAATTATTTGTCTTCGTTGTTCGATTGTCCAGCGTAAGTTGGCCCCGCGATACTTGCGCGAACAAATAACAGATATATGGATAATGGCGCGTTAGAGATCTCCAGTGATTGGCCGGGTAAGGACTTCAGCCGGTGCCCAGATAAGGCTGCGCGAGCGCTGGTCAACTTCCGCCGTCCGCGATAGTGGTCACCGCCGCACCGAAGACACAACGAGGATAAAACAAGGGCAAACCGTTGTTGTAGATAAATGCGTTGCGTTGTAAAAAAAAAATATACACGTCTTTTTTATTTCTTACATGGTACGCGCGAAAGACGTTCGTTTTTTTTTTCTTTTTAAACTCTACGATTGCGGCCAGTGGTAATCGTCAAAGTTGCCAGCTTCAAATCGAATCTCTCATGTTATAACACGTGAAGCTATTACGGTGCCGCCACAATTTTAAGTGCTGACGTATCATGCTCAGCGGAGAAGGACATCGTGAGGAAACAAAATAAGAACAAAATAAGAACAAAAATATGTGGAGTCCGCCAATCCGCATGTGCCCCGCAAGTGGGGTCGCGTGGAGGACTATATCCTTATATCGTCTGTACAAAGCATCTTTGCCCAGCAGTGGGACATATATAGGCTGTTTTATCTCTATATATATTCTATATAATATTTAGTTTTACTTAATGTTATAAATTTTGTGAATTTATCTATATTCATTTCTAACTGTTTAAATGTGTAAAAAGCAACGAATAAAAATAAAAAGACGTTATGATTAACGTTTTGAGTAATTCAAAGTCCATATCTTGGCGTTTATCGAAAATAAAAGGTCACCCACATGCAGCCAGTCAAAAGAGACAATGGAATCGCGTGACTTTCCCGCCCAAACTCGTGTCATTACAGCTGTATTAAGTTTTTTAAAGGCGGCCCGTAATGAAGGAACGGCGCGCCCGCTCCTCCGAGACTGCCGCGGGCGCGCCGCGTGGCCTCGTGTTGACATTCCTCATCGGATTGTGGGCATTAGTGTATTAAACTGTGACCAAACGAAAAAGGAACGAACTAACTCCGCGCTAGCCGAACATCGGGCGACGGAGGAACCGCTAACGATACTCCTCCCGCCACGAATCTGGGTGTGGCCGTGGAGGCACCGAGTGACTGTACAGTTATAAGTGTGATTAATACCGCACGTGACGGTGGTGGGTAATTAAAAAAATGATGCCCCGACGAAGACAAGATAAGGTCTACGGCGGAAGAAAGCCCCACTTTTTCTAATTACACTTTTCATTAGCTGATGGATCGTAGCACGCGTCGGTTGCGAAGACGACAATAACGTGATTAGTCGGGCCATTGTGAGAGCTAGTTCTTGGGGCGTATTAGCCCGATGAGGCTCGAACACCAACCGCCCGCACTTAATGTCCTTTGTCGACCGTCTTATTAAGGAGAACATAATTAAACACTTCTCATAGAAAGATAAAATTAACCTAACGTTTATAATCGTTCGAATCACATGAAAAATTATGTAGGGCGCTCGCTTTTAATTCAATATACTCGAGCAACCTGAGTTCGAATCCCGGCACCAATGAAATTGTTAATTCTAAGTGCTGAATTATCACGTGCTCAGCGGTGAAGGAAAACACCGTGAGGTAACTTGCATATTTTGAAAGTCCGCCAAATAATAGATATTTTTAGTCCGCCAATCCGCAGTGTTCCCTAATATCTCTGTATAAAGGACCTTTGCCCAGCATTGGGACATATTTAGGATGTCACTTTACTTTTACTTATTCCGAATTTGTTCGAAAGCGAAAATCTCGAGCGATTTTCTGTACATTTCTTCTTTGTTTTGTTCTACGTGTAAGGTTTCTTAGGTACGTGATGCAAGACACTATAAGTGCAACCAAGTGCACTATAATGCAAGCTCATAGTTATTTCGTATAGTTTTAAAAGAAAACGCAGATATGTCTTCGGAGGTCACTCCGAGCGGGTGCCGCTCCTTCGCGTGCCTAATTACACGATTAACGGCGATGCCAGGGCTGCGGTTAATATTTTGTAATGGTCCGTGTATCGCAATGATATGTAAATATTCCGCCCCGCCCTGGCTATTAGGTCGCTTCGCGTGCGCGTACTAAAACATTCGGGAGAGCGGGGCGCGTTCGTAGTTTAGTGGCGACGCTAAGTCTCTTTTAGTGTCCTCGGGACTTACGCGATCCCAATCTCGTTTAGCGCTCAGGATTGAATAGCGAGACGCGTAATTAGCAGGCCTTTTTAGAAGGAAAACTACTCATAAGCTTCCTCGAGAGGGCCGTATTAATTACTGGAGCCGCTCGCACGAGCGCGGCGCGGAAATAAATGCTCGGCCACTCGGCGCCCCAGCCTCGGCGGGCCTTATTAAAAATGTTAACACGTAAATTAGACCCCCGACTCGGCAACGGTGTATTAGCCAACCAATTAAATTTTAGAGTCAGCGTCGCACAATGACGCCACAAGGCGACTCAGCGCGTCGGGGGATGATTACTGCCCCAACACACACTGTTTAGACGGCACCAATTATATGTATACGTGCGCTTTTTTACCTTCGCACTTTGATAGCGTTTCGAGTGTTACAAAATGAAATTGCGTCGCGCGAGGTGGCCCGTGTTTTTTTTTAATTACGAAAAATTAAATATCGAACTTAATGCGCGCGGAGCGGGTCGGCGCGGTAAGCTTAAAAGGCATATGAAAATTGCGATGTAAGGCTGGCAACATTTCCGTTTCCAACCGTGAGAGTCCTTACAGACGAGGGATTTCGTTCTCAGTTGAATTAATAAATGTTGTTGAGCGCGCAATTAAATGCGAAGTAAAATGTTGCAGACATTTAGTGAAAATCGCTGATGCGTCGCCGGGCGCGCACCGTCGCTCTGCTGTATTCGCTGTATCTAGTTTATATTGTTTATGGCGACGGGATGTCGATGGGGCAGGTTTGGGCGCAGCACTATGCTGCCACCGTTCTGAAAAGGGATGCGCCACAGTCCGCGTGCACATTGTGAGACCGCGCTAACTAGTCGCTCGTGTGCGAGCGTTTAAAAAGGTTCGAGTCTAAGTGCACGCCCTCGTGCGACTAGTTGGATGTGTAAAAAGATTAATTGGAGTGTTGCCCGCGCTCCCAACAATTTACGGCGCCTTCTGTGGCGGGCCGGCCGCAGACCACTTCTGCTCGACTTAATTAAGCGAAATAACTTAAGCGAGTCACCGTTGCTAATTAGCGCCATCGTGGCAGCGGCTAATTCTACGAGTGACTCTTTGTTCGCGGGGCCCGCGCGCTTCTTTGAGTTCGCGCGCCAAAAGAATCTGTCTTTGCTTAGACTTTGAGCGAAGGATGTTTGTTCGCCCCCCCAAGCGGGGGGACTTGAAAGACTCCGCCCGCGTCGTATGGTGATTCGTTTGCCACACCAAATACTTAATAAAGCCGTCTGTGGGAGACGCTTCCCTTTTGGCGCCAACTTTTGTCAGATTAAAAAAGAGCACGATCGTTTATTTCTAACGCGACGTTTCCTCTACTTATTCGGTGTCGGCTAAATGGGGACGGTTGGAATGTGGCAATTTGCAATAGCTTCAGCTAAAAGTCGTCGCGAAAGAAAAGCCGGAAGGATTTTGAGTGGCACAAGAATCGCCCTCGACATTAGTGTTCTTGAAGCCTACGTAAAGTGGCCATTACTAAGTGCTCGCTAGCTCTTTCTCCGCCGACAAAGACTGCGAAACGTTATGCATATCTCAATTAGAATGTTAGCAAACTTTAACACGGCCGTGTGTGCTATTTTAATAATGCCCAGATAATTTTTTCTGTTTTATCTGTGCAAGTTATGTTATGTTAGCCTTTCTGTTGTGCGTGTTTGGTATGTGTTTGGTATACACTGCAACATTTATGGAAAATAAACAAATACAGTTGTCTTATGTTCAATTAATAAATTATCTGTTTAATCTGTGCAAGTTACGCAACAGTCTGTCAGTAGCACGTGATTTGTCCATACTCCACTACTCTACACGCTTCTTACCTTCATGACAAAAGAAAACAAAAGCATAATGAGGCTCAACGTATCCAGCCTGTGTGTTGCACTTAATTAAAAAACAAAGTTAACACTTTAACGGCCGTAATTATCGACGGCGGTTATCGATTTTGCCGGGGCTATCGCTGTTAGAAGTTTTTAATCGTACTCCGGATTGGTTCGCGGCGACTTTTTTCTATATGTTTGTTGAAAAAACTGTTACATAATTAAAACTAACTAATCACGCAATTAAGAAACATCGATAGCGTTAACGGTCATTATTAAAATCAATGTAATGAACGAAATAGGTCGCCGATAATGGGAAGTAGATAAAAATATAAAGGAACTATACTATAAAACAACTCATTTCTTTTAATAACATATTATTATATATTAAAACATAAGTTGTTACTGAAATTAAGTATGAAATAATTATCGATATTTTTATTTATGATTATATATTTAGATATGATTATCTTAGAAGGTACCGTTAGTTGTTTTCAATAAGTATACGATCGTTTTTAAAAAGAAGAGTACAAATGATAGAGTCACGTAGACATCAAGTTATTTCCGCTGGCCGTGGACTTCAAGAAAATCGGCGGTTACATTTGTCCTTTTCTTTCTCTGCCCCAACTGAACAGTAATTTGTAAACGTGGGTCGATGTTATGGTAACGTTTAGAAAAGCAGTTTCCACCGTGACAGAGATGGCTCTGTATTGACAAACCCGTCCGAGACTGTACGAGTACAGTGTTATTCGTACTTTTGCATTTGCACCCAGAGAGTCTACTACTACGTTACTAAACGGATCTCATTCGCGCGAAGTTTGGTTAAGTGGCCACCCATCCCTTAATCGGAAGAAATGCCCGTCACCTTCCCATAAAGGGGTCTATAGACGGATCGGTGTCCCGCATAGGTCTTTTTAAAGCGCGCCGATCGATGGCGTGTGATTTTAAAAAGGCCATCAATTATTCAGGTGCGCGGACGCCTCCGCCTGTAATTGCCCGCCGCCCGCCCCCGAAAGGCCGGCCCTCGCCCCTCCAGCGGGGTATCCTTTCAGAGATGCCTATCGCCGAGGAAATGACCGCTTTCCGTAGTCCACAATGACGCCATTAAGGCACAATGCTAATGGAGCGTCCGGGCAAGATTCGCCCCGACGTCTTTCAAAGTCGCGGGCCGTTTTAAATATGCGAGTACTGTGATCTAGCCGCGGCACCGCTTGCGTGGCTATTTATCTATCGCAATCAAATATTTATCAATCACAATCAAATGCATACTATGCGTGGTGTTTTTTGTAGTTAAACGCTCGTGTATCGGTACGGCCATCCTTTAGCTACAAGCGCGCACGACATGCAAACGCGTTTGTAATGTTTGTGGTTTTATCAAAGGTCAGTATAATTGTCAGCGCATCTATAAGGAATCGGATGTTGTAGATGGTACAGTATTTGTTTCTGTGAGCACTAAGAGTTCAAATATGTTTGAAGTGATTGAAATACCTGATAAGAATAAAAAAAAATTAAAGCACTAGTACACTGGTATGACTGTATGTTAGTTTTCGTACTAATTATTAATCAAAATATGTATGTTTGTATGACCGGATCAAATATGATATCATTAAGTAAAAGAATAGATCCGGATCTGATATAGAGTTCATCGTAATCGATACAAATTTAAATAAATTAACGGAAAATGTTTAGCTCAGATATTCCTTCATGAGGACTGTTGGTGTAGCAACAATGAATACCCTTCGATCGCCCCAAACCCGTGGGTTCTGGCTAGCCCAGCGGTTCTGCGTCAGATGAAGCTTTAATAGTCTCGGGACTGAAAGCAAAAACATCAGTTAATACAAGATACAAGATACCTTCGATCGTTTAACGATTACAAACGAACATTTCCATCGAAGCGAGTAGCATTATCGAAGCTTTTACAAAGCTCTCCTTTTATCTAAGAGATATAACTGGCTTGAGATATAACAGGTCGATATGTTGAAGTGTTTGGCACACACTGACGGGGGTGTATTCTCCAATCGGCGATAGCTGCGGCTATCGCGGCGCGGGCGTATCGAGTGTTCGGAATGGGCCACGACAAATACGCAGATAGCGAAAGATGGGGAATCGCTTATCATAGGAGCACGCGGCTTATGGTAGGTGCCCCTTATCGGCGGGCTTAGATAAGGCGAAAATTAGTCGAGTACAAATCAATACAGCCAGGGATTTTTCCGTTGCTTGCGGTGTAAGCGTCTATATGCGTGAATAATATGCGAATTCATTTGTTCGGACGCGGTCAAGTTGATATAAAATAGAGAATGGACGAGGGGCTTTGCCCTCTGTTTGTTCTAATAGACAACTGTTAACCGCATTAGAAACAAATTAAAGGCTGACGGCGATTGGGTCTATTATAAAACAGTTCGACTCGCAAACCAAGCAAGCGTTTCTTGTGTAATTTGAGGTTACAGTCTCGTATATAATTCTGTTAGTTCTGGTTTTAATAGCGGCGAGTTACTTTAATTTATTTCCCATTCAGGATTATTGCGTTAAGTTAATCGCTTGTTGATATTATGATTGAGGATTTTATTAAGTTTAAATAAATAACGAATACTATAAATGATTAAGTTACTCGTATCACTTATTTAGTAATTATGTCACTTATTTAGTATAGCGTGTGTGTATTTAATATTGTGTATCTAGTTATAGCATTTAGATTATTAAAATTAACAGCTTCGGCAGAGTAATAATTAGTATTCGTTAAGAAACATTGTCCCATTTTATAAAAGACATTGGTCATTAAGTTGAATTATAAAGTGAGGTATTCCAACGATCCCACCCTAAATGCTAAAATGATTTAAGGGCTGTCCCCACCTACTACTAAAATAAGGAAATAGTGAATTTACAACCCTTTAACGAAATATTAGGTTATCGGATTGTGCTACGGTCTGCGAAGAAAACTTGATTGCCGTTAATTAATCGCGTTACGTTGTTAATTATCGCTTCCGAAACGCTTTAAATAGAATAGGAAAAATAAATTGTATTAAGCGACGCTAATGGTGAACTTTCGACGTTTGTATGACATAATTTTAGCTAGTATTTGAACGAGGAAGAAATAAATAAAATATTTATAAATTCGTAACCAATTTTCATATTAAAATTTACCCACTTATAGACAAGGGAGGAAGCAAATTACAATTAATTAAGTAGGTTTTAAATGTATCGACAAAATTAAAATATCTAAGCAGAAGAATATTTGCACAGACTTATTTTAAATAGAGTATTTTTATTCGTTTACATCGGCGTAATGCTGGCTGGAAGGAGAATTAAATTAAGTAAATAAAAAAAAAACACTCACCGGAAATTCGAGAACCATTTGACGAGCTGCGCCGTGTTGTTCTTGTTGAACTTGATGTCGGGGAAGTACATCTTGAGGACCGCCGAACTCGGGTACCGCACCCAGAAGAACATGAGCTTCGCTTTGCGCAGGTGCATCGGCGTTAGCGTGGACGAGTGCAACGGAGTTATGGAACGCATTGGTTGTAACAGTTGGACACATTTAGAAATCGGAAGAAATTTGATGAGTTCGAATTATGGAACGCATCGGTTGAACAGTTGAACATTGAGATATTGGTAGAAAACAAATTGACGGGTTCGATTTTTAAATTATTTCGTTTGGAATTAATTTTTCTTTACTTTCGAATATTGTTTGATATGAAATAAATTAGTTAATTTTGTGTTTGTTTGAATGGTGAATACAGTGAAAATTATACAAGCAAGTATGTAAAATATAAGATTGTTGGAATAATTTTAGACGGTAGAACAACGTTGCCACGTATAAAGTAAGAAATTTAAAGACAGGGTGGGTTGTAGATATAAATCTGATTATATCCCACTATTACGTAGGTTCACTCGCGAAGCACCACAAGTCTTAATCCGTTTGCATCTAATCTTATAAAGTACCTTAGCCGTGTCAGTAGAGGCCTTTATTGTTTTATCAATTTATTGCAATTATTTACAAGCAACTATGTATTATTGCACGTTATATAATAGACACGTGCCAAATGTTGGCAAGCTTTGTAAATTAATTAAAACTAAATTCGATTTCCTTAAGACTTTACAATTAATCTTTTTTATCGTGCCTCTTTCTATGTGTGGATGGTGTGCTGCGTACCGTAGAAACCGCAGCATTTGTGGGGTTTCCAGAGTCGTATAATGCCATCTACTAAGTAGGAAGCAGGCGGCGGCAGTCGTAAGGTTAAATACTACAGAAATAAGATATGTGTGGGCGTATGCATGTCACGATTTGACTTATGTGGTAAGAGCATTAGCGTCGGTCTCGTATTTACTTCAATTGGAACCCTATCGTAAAAGTATCGGTCGCAAGACTTGTGGCGTTCGGGCGATAGTAACAAAATACGTATATCTATAACTTTTCACTTATCACAACTGTAAGCCAACTCTACTCACGTGGCAAGAACTTATGAGGCTTGCTGAGATTCTCCGATAATGTGTATTGTAAAAGGATATAGTAGGCTGCACCCCGTCGTAAGGCAGGTCGGTGGAGTTGCAGTCGGAGTGCGGGTCCTGTGCGTCCATGTGCTGCGGGTGGTGGGGCCCGGCGGCGCTGTGGGCGCCGTGGCCGTGGTGGTGGCGGAGGTAGTCGGGCGACGCGTGGTGCGCCAGCAGGGCGGGGTGCAGCAGCGCGGGCGGGTGGGGCAGGGGGGGCGAGTCGCGCTCCGGCGCAGGCGGCGACCGCGCTAAACCACCACCCGCCCCGAAGAACGGCGAGTACGGCGAGAACACCTGGCTCTCGTGCAGCGAGGGGTTGGGTATCGCGACGGAGGTGGGCAGCGCCATCCCGCCGGGGAAGGGCCGCGGCGAGGGCGACTCCGGCGACTGGCCGACGCCCTCGCCGAGGATGCGGCTCACCGTGCGCGGCGTGATCCGCGTGTCGGTCACCTTGTGCCGTTTCTTCTTCGGCGTCACGACCAGGCTGAGCGCCTCGTTCTGCTCGGGGTTCGGCTCGCGCTCGTAGTGGCCGTTCATGGGCCCGTAGAGGCCGAGCTTCGGCGGCGTCTGGAAGAGAGCGGCGGGCGGCCGGTGGGCGCCGTGGCCGGGCCCGCTCGGCTCGCCGTGCAGGGGGAACGCCGCGCCCGCCGCCCGCGGCCCGCTCATCTGGCCCATCATCAGCCCGTGGCCCATAAAGGGGAGGCCGTTCGGCGCCGGGTGGTGCACGGCCGCGTTGCCCGACATCTGCGCGGAGGGGCGCTCCTGCTTCAGCGTCGGCGACTTCCTCTCGATGAGCCGCGACGCCCGCATCAGGTCCTTGTTGAGTTGCTCCGCTGCAGCTGCGGCCGCCTCCGACTGCTTGCCCATGATGCGGCGCTGGTGCACGAATCGCGTCACGATCGAGTCGATGAGCGTCGCCAGCGACGCCGAGATCTCGTTCTTGAGCACTTCCGCGAGGCCCTCCAGGTCTGCACCGGACACAGGACCCACTGAACCCGCGTTGCTGCGCAACGCGTCGAGCCTCTCGGCGAGCTCCGAGGAGAGCGGCGGCTTGGGTGTCTGCCCGAGTTGCCTTTGCTGCGGCGAGTGCTGGGTCGACTGCGGTCTTTGCTGCTGGCCATTCTGCTGGTGCTGCTGCTGTTGCTGCTGTTGTTGCTGCTGCTGCTGATGGTGCTGCTCGGCGGCCTCTTTCATTCGCGCCTCCTGTTCCAGGAACAGCTTCTGACCGACGTTGATGGCGTACATGGCCGCCGCGTTGTTGAGATGCTGATGCGGATGTGGTGGGTGCATGTGGTCGTTGGGCGGCAGGTGTGGAATAAGAGGCAAGGCACCATTAAAACTAGGAGGGAGGTGGGGATGCGGACCACCATGCCCGTGCATCTTGGCGGACATCATCTTGTTCATCACTTGCGTGAGCATGTTGGGGGCGACACTGTTCGGTATTGGGGGCGGCACATCCTTCGCGGGCGAGGGGGGCTCCGATTTCGGCACCGGGTCCTCGGTCTGTTCCACATCACTGGACGCGCCATCGTTATCCACCGTCTCGGACTCCTGGCCCATGCGATTGCACAGCTGCAGGTACTTCTCCTGCATCTCGGCGAGTTGCTCCTGCATCGTTCTCAGCTGCGACTTGAGCGCGTTCTTCTCGACCAGCTTCTGCTGGATGGGCCGCTCGCCCTCGTCCTCGGAGTCGTCGGAGACGGTGTGCGCGCTGCTCGCGTGGGTCGCGCCGTAGCGCTCCGCGGCGCCGTCGTGCTGCTGCGGGTGGTAGAGCTTGCGCTTCTTGCAGCCGTTCACCTGTGGCTGCTGCGGCGCGGGGCTGGAGCGCATCGTGGAGACGATGTTCTCGACGCGGGCACGTTTCGCGTCGGCAGGCCGCGGAGAGGCGCGCTGCGCGTCGCTGTCTCTGTCCTCGGGTTCGGGCTTCGGCGCCAGCAGGGGCTCGGACTGTGTTGTCGGCGGGGGAGTGCGCGAGTCGCCGACGCCCTCGAGGGCGAGAAGCGCGTCGTCCAGGTCGGCGCGGGAGTCGCTCGAGGCGGGCCTCTCCGGCGAGCGCTTGCCCTTCGGCTCGTTGTTGTTGTCCGCCAGCACGTTGTTGTTGTCGGGCGAGAGGCGGAGCAGCTCCTTCTTGCGGCTCTGCAGTATGTCGCGGAGGACACGGTGCGCGATGTCGCCGCCGGGCGGCTCGTCGGCGGCGTCCTCGTGGCGGGGCGGGCGCCCCAGCAGCTCGTTGAGCATCTCCGCCGGCGCGTAGCCGGGCCCGAAGAGGCCGAAGTGCTGGCGGCCGTCGAAGATGGCGCCGTAAAGTCCGCCGCTCATGTGTGCGGCGCGCGCGGGCGCGGGTCCGTTCGTGGCGGGAGTCGAGTGGGGATTGCGCGGCTCGCCGGCGTCCACGCGCTGTCTGGCGCGCTTCTGTTTCTTGAGCAGTCTATCGGAGTAGGGCGCCCGCGGGTCGGCCTCCTCCCCCGATGACATCGCACGCGGCGCGGGCCCCGATTGGCCGGACGGGCGGCGGGCAGGCCCCCGCGCTGGCGCCGCAGCGCCCGCTCTGCAAGGAGGGGGCACAACTTGCACACCTGCCCTTGCGCTCGCGGCGAGAGCGCGCTCCCTTCGCTTCGTGCCATTTAGAATGAATGCGACGCGCGGACGCACGTCGCGCCGCAAGCAACTTTCCAAACTCTTTTATTTATTTAGCGCGTTCAAAAAAATTACTTAAATTGTCGCAGGGGATTAAATAAAAAATGCTTCGCGAGCTATATGTATATTCGGTAATAGTTGTCGTAGTATAATAAGTTCCAATAAATAGTAAATCAAATTATTACTTCATGTTAATTACATGTTTATTTATTTTTATATAAAAGTAAAATTAAACAAAGACATATACTGGACTTATAGGAATTACGCGATTTATCATAGCCAGTACTATTAATATTTTATTGTTTATAAAGAATATTATTTAGTTGATATTAAAAAATACTGTCTTGTAAGACAAATTTCTTATAAAAAGCAATCTTACTGCATTCCAGAATCAAAACACCTAACTTATACGATAACGTATGAGATCTAGAGTAAAACATTTAAAATGTTAATAATTCGACATTCAAACACTGTTAGTGAATAAATAAACCATCATGTTATGTCGTCAGTGACTAGCTCTCTTCGTTAGGCGGTGAGTACATCTAGATAGGTGAAACTATGTGACATCGCGGGCAACAAAGGCCGCATATGTATCAGCGGCATTAATTTCTTTTGGAGCGTGACTCCGTATTCAGGGAGGACAATGAGTCTAAAAATGTCAGAAATAATTCTGTGAGACACGCGGAGCGGGTCGCGTCTCCATTGTGGCGTAGCGCGGTCAAAAATTCGGACGCGAAATACTTCGCTATTATTATTCTGATTTTTTTTTTATTATATAATTCCCTCAATAAACTTAACTTCTCTTCTTCTCATTATAATAATTCTTAAGCTTGAGCGCGAATATGTAATGTGTTTACGAACTTTTATAAACTATATGATTGAAGAATTTATAAACACTCGTCAAAAACCATATGAAAGAGAAAAAAAAAGATTTAAATTTCTTTTTAAGGGTTCTTGATAAAAAAAATTATCAAATTTAATTGATTGAATTACTCAAAATTAGAAATTAGAAAGTAAGTCTTATTGGACTTTCGAATTGGACGTGGAGAGTAATAGTTTTTGCATTTTATTTGGCCGTACGTCGACTGCAAACTGTTTCGGTATAACATGAACACGCTTTGAATACTTGTGCGTTCCGTGTTTATTTACGACACGTCAAAACGCGACGCGGGGCAATGGGCACGCGCGCCGCGTCTCTGCCAACATCCGGCCGCAATTTGCCGCACAATGAGATGCTATCAATGGCGGATGACTTCCGATGTCCGCTTAGGCGCCCGCCCGCGGAGTCACGCACCGCTTCCTCGGCGCGCCGAGCAGGAAGCCTGGCCTCTGGCTCGGCCGCGGAACGCCTAGCCAGCCGTGGTCTGGCCGCGGTAGACCGGCTAGACGCTGCGAAGGCCTACTTCCCCACTCCCTATATGCGCAGTTCTAAGTGCTGTTAATACTCGGTTAGACTTTTAAGTAGTAGTGGCTTGTTGTACAGCCTGTACAACAAGACAGGCACATTGTCTGTCACTACACTAATGGATAAGTAATTTAATCGAGACTAGATTTTGTAGAACTGTATGTCCTGCACTGTTCACTCTTTATTTGGTCTTTATCATTGCAATACAACCGTATCCGATGATACTATGATTGTCAAAACCAAATCTATTAATACGTGTTTACTTCTTGAAACCCGAACAAAACTCTACGACCGAAGAAAATTTTTGGTCATGACGCAATACTATACGTTACCAGTACGATATTCGCGCTATAAAGCGAACTATGGTCCTAACAGCACCATAACTCCGATTTGCGAAGCTACGAATAATTCAGTCGCTTCGCGGCGTGTGAAAATTGGACGCGCCGCCGAAAGTCCGTCCACGCGAGGCGTTTAATATTTTAAAAAAAAATAATCATGTATCGTAATTCCACGCGGCACGGAACAATTCCGATAATTACCGCATCATGAATAAGCAATGCGTTGTCAAACTGTGGCCGGTCGCGGCCTACGAACGCGGGATCACCTTTAGCACTGCCGATTCGAGATTTAAAGCGGTTCCATTTTCGAAATGGCGCGCTCGGTTCGTGAAATAAAGCGTTTCCATTTTTAAAAAAATCGTTCTATTAGATAGTAAGTTCGGTTGTAGGCCGTTCTATTATTATAATGATAGTTTAATCGTTAATATTCTAGTTGAAATTTTATCATAACAGTGATTAAATTCATTGACTGCTTTTAGATAATATTCTATAAAGTACATGTAATATTGTGCAGTATTAAAACGCGAATAAGGAAAACTTTCAAATATAAATTTTTAATTTATTTTTAAATTTCAAACTTTCCGTTTCAGAGTGGAAGCGCTTTCAAATTTTATAGGTGAAAAAAAGAATACCAGAATTTTATTAATTGAATAAAACACAATAGTCAAAAGAACTACCTATCTGTATTTATTCGATGTTAAAGTGCGACAGCTTACGCTCAACGAATTATACTTACGACTTTTAACTGAAAATTGTCCGTTTAAATAAGAATGTACATAAAAATTGAAGACGTTAAATTATGATAATAAAAAAGGAGCTAAACGAAAAGAAACATTAAGTAAAACACAATAAACAACTAAGTATCCGCGGGGTGTAAAGCGGCCTCGTAGCGGTCTACGCTCAGTGCAGGCATGTGATGCCGACACGACCTGTTGATTTCCATCCATATAGCACCGGCTAGGGGCGAAACGCACCCCTGCTCAGGTGTTTTCGATGCCAACAACGGAAATAATTATAAACGTTACCCAAGTTAGTTCAAGCAATGACTAACATTCCCTGCTTCGCCACAAAACCCTCGCTAGATTTGTTTATTTGCTTCTAAACGTTAAGTTTGTTTAACGCTGTGCAACTACGAATTTCGTATTTGGGTAATTTCAAATACATAATACATATACGTAGAACAGGACTAAAACTGAAGTTATATAAATATCATCCTCTTTAATTTTAGTTATAATCAAGACGAAAGAGCGTTTTAAGTTGCAAGCAGACCTTAAAAGTTGAGACTTTTTTTTAAGTGAGAATTAATTATAGCGTTTTGTAGAAATAAAACTTAAAAACTATCCTATAAATTGATATAGGATTCACGACAGAAAAAATCTCGATCGCAATTAAATGAATATTCTTCGGAACAATTGTAACGTATTTTATAGATTAAAATTATTTTTCCAATCGAAATATGTATAATAGCAATTCTAATACAACCTCTCTAAAGACATTTAAATTAAAAAAAACAAAACATGATTCTACAACGACACCACGGCGCGACTTAAATTCCCGCCGAAACTTGCGGGCGGCGCGCGCGGCGTCCTATTTTCGCGGGAACATTTCTTCCGCACCGCGTGTTTCGGCGGTGACGAAAAAAGCGCTGCGAAACTCTCCTGTAACGGAGTTAGTTTGTATGTTACAACTTTCCGATTTCCAAACTCGGATGTAGGTCTTTTGAGAGGAGTTACAGCCGCAAACGCTGCCAAAGCGAGTACCGCAAATTAGAATCAACCGTTTTGCACCGGCGAAGGGCGTATTAGGGTTACGCCGAGTCGTTTTAGTTTGTAGCAGTCCCCGCTAGGCGATGTTTAATGTCGGCATATTCCTATAAAAACTCGTATGAGTGCTCTCATCCGAACTTTTAGGCTGGTACCTTAATAACTCTGTACAGAGGAGGCCTTTGCCCAGTGGGACTTGTATAGGCCGTTACTTTACTTTTATCGTAATAACCATCGATGTCGGCGAATTCGCATTACAGGAAATATAAGTTGCGAAACAATGAGTCGTATCCAAATAAATATATAAATAAAAAATATATAATATATGCTATAAACTTTACAAGACTTCTTTGGTTTACAATTTTGGTAACTTTGGTGAGTAAGGTAACCGAGGCTTATTCCCTGAAATTTGGTAACGCATCACAAACGAGTTGTAGACGCCCATGGGCGGCGGTAATCACTTAACATCCACCTGATCAATTATAAAGTTCTAACATAAAAAAATAAGAAGACTACAAACTAACCTAACTTCGTATGTCCGTCTTGAGCGTTTTTCGAGCCGAGCGAGAGTTAGTGAACTCTTTGGATCCAAGTGACACCAGTCAAAATAATAAGACTGCATAGGATGCTTATCGTGACGGCCATATGGCACCGTCGGTCACATTTCCTACGCACCACCCCCCAACAGGGGAAGTGCGGTGTACGGGAATGCGTGGGAATGTATTTCACCCTTTGCAATTATGCCTCGCATTATCTATTCTTCGCGTTCACAATTTAAACGGTGACTTATGGTCATTCCGACCATATGTCGGGCATCACGCGATCGTTATTTCAATAAGAAAACGTTAGAACGGACGTTACCCGGATGTAGTAAAGGCGAAATGATCCTATTAGATATTAAACGGACAATAGAAATGTGAATTTTCGCAGACAAATGGACCAAAACTTTCGGCCGTGCGGGATTCGAAACAGCGTCCTCCGTGTAACGCGCAAAATCTTTTGTACGCTTATGTACTAAAAATCACGTTTTAAGTTTCGTATATGCAGAAAGTAGCACATAAAATAAAAATTAATAATAAACAAATAATAATATTAATCGAAAATCGTATCGAAAACTGTAGTCTTCTCAATTATGTTAACGTACATGAACGAATTATAGTTTTTATATAAACGTATACAGAGAATATTGGCAAGAAGAACGTATGAAGTTTGATGAACAAAAAATGGCGACCACGCAGTACCGAAGGTTTCAGACGACAAAGATATAGTTAACATCATAGATGCAGATTCGGGTGCCACGATAATTGACGCCAAGCAAACATAACCTGAAAATACTATTTCATTCGTGGATCCGGCTAACCTGCGATGGCCGTCTCATTACTAAATGTATGTGGAAAGCTTTGGAATCGAGTTTTTCCATTTAGATTTTTTTCGCCTTTCGGACGGAATGATGGTGTACGATTCTGCTCAGTTCCAATCTAGCACACCTTCACCTAGTTTAATAACATTATGGCTTCCTATTTTCAAGGATCTGCTGGGAGAGAACTCTTTTTAGGGTTAAGCTCGGTTTTCTGTATTATATTGTGCATACAATAAAAAAAGAACAAACGATCGTCGTATGAACATTTGTAATTGGGGGCAGCTATCTATTAACCGTCTTTACTACATAGTATAAAACAAAGTAGTCCCGCTGTGTCTGTAAAAACACTGATATTTTTAGAGGTTTCTAATGCGATGCTGAAAACGAACATTCAGCATTGCACCCGTGCGAAGCCGGGCGGGTCGCTAGTTTGATAAAAAAAAAATATCTAATAACAGAGACCATTGGTAAGGAACAGAAGGATTGCAAGAATATAAAAGATAGAATATAAGAAATAGCCTTTTCAGCGTTTGATTGCAAGTGCAAAAAGCAATTTTGAGTCCAAATCGTCGTAATATGTATGTTGTATCAACTAATAACTGTAGTCGAATGATGAATTCTGTATACGTGATTTTACATGAGTATTTCTAACATTAAATTGAATGATTATTACCGGTGGTTTGATGATAATCTACGAGGAAATATGAAGAAAAACATGTCCAGTAAAGGGTGAAGTCAGGCAATCAGCATGCATAAATGATGAGGCGCGCATGGCGTGCTTTCTGGGCCATTACTGTGCTTCTATGAAAAAGGACATTTCGACCTTATCGGTGGATATCACGAGAATAAAAAACCGGCGATAGCATCGTCGCGGGACCGAATGGTGATGTGCGCTGTCGAACTCTATCGATAGGCGAAAGCTGGTTGACGGAATCGAGCTATGTCTTACGAACAGATAAGTTATTTGATTTCCCTTTAAATGTTACCATTTTATATAAATGTACCGTTTATTACTTTAAAGCGACAGAAGGCAATATTATGTTGGAAGTAAAAGTATATACTAGATATGTAAATCAATTCAAATACATCGTTAAGATCCTCGAAACGCTATCTTATTGATATTTATCGCTTTGAAAATTTCCAATTGACGGCGTGTCGATATATTTCCATCGACTGCGGAGCAACACTAGGGTCGTGTGTTGGAAGACAGGCACTTATTAGTCGTCATTATCTATGGCGCGGTATCGCCGCTGACATATGGCCAATACTGGACACGACCGTCCATATCTGCGATGGCGACATGCGAGAGGACACCACGCCAAGCTTTACGCGGGAAAGGGCTTCGATGTTTTGCTGCGACTACTATTTACAAAGCTCCATTCGATCGCTTCACTACATAGTATAAAACAAAGTCGTCCCGCTTTCTGTCTGTATATATGCTTAGATCTTTAAAACTACGCAACGGATCTTGATGCGCTTTTTTTTACTAGATAGATTCAAGAGGAAGGTTTATATTTATAATATATTGCACCTGTGCGAAGCCGGGGTGGGGCGGTAATTTTCAATATTATAATCTTTACATGTTATTTCTCAAACGCGTTTTTGTCGGCATGCTATAACATCAATAATTCTTAATCAAATTTAATTATCCAAACATCATTTTAAAGTTTTTTTAAGCAAGACAATAAGTATAAAGTTAATGTTTTCACAGAACACTATACTTTCATTTAAAACGTTCTTATAAAGAATACAACACAGAAAACAGAGTAACACATCCAATTCACGCCGGTCTTCTGTGAGGTCGTGCTTCTTACCCGGACGGACCTGCCCATTCGTGCAACAGCGAAGACTTGCGTGACTCTACCACACATAAAAATCTAAATGATGAATTTCGTTTTTCAGCATTATACCTACAGCGTTAAGCTTATTGACTTAACGTTTATAACTTCGAAACAATACGACAAATGTTAGACAAAATGTAGCACAGATTGTTGTGTGTTCTCATGCTCAGGAGCTGCAACAGTCTGTGGTTTAGAGAAAAGGCAACATTAACATACCATCGTAGAGGACAAAGACGCACATTTGCAAACATAAAACGCCATATAAAGAGTGTTCATTCGAATAAGAACAATTCGTAATTCGTTCCAAATTGGTACTGATTCTGATCATTCGACATTAGGCGTTCGGCGTTCGGTGCTCGTGTGACTAACACGCTCGTCCTCTGACGGCGACAATGTTGCGAAACGCCTCGCACTCGGCCCTATCGGCGGCGCGGCCCGCACAGAAAACCGATAAGCGGTATCTGGTTAAATTTTAATGTAGCCGCTGCAAGTCACGAGTGCGCGGAGATCGTATGCGGCGGCGCGGTCTCTTTCGCGCCAAAACCGTCTCGATTTTTTTCTTTTTTTATTAGTATGATTGTATGTTTCGCGGCATGGGATTTTTCCATACAGCCTATCAGCCATCAATATTTTTTGACACTTTTCAATTAGTCAAAATTGACCGCCATCTTTTCAATTTTTCAGTTTCTTTTGTAATCTTCGTTTTTGTTTGACTAACTGCCCGTTCTTGACGCTTGACCATGATGGTGCGTCGTTCATTCTGTTTTGGTTTTGTTTTTGTTTTATGTTTTTTTAATATAATTTCGTAAGCGGCATCAACACAAAATGTAAAAGTCAAATATAAATACTTAGTTCTGTTATATCAACGAATATTATCGAAAAGAAAGCACAACATAATGTTGTCACTAAAAAAGTTATGTATGTATTTATTTCTTTAAAAATTGATTCTTTAAAAATTGACCTCAACTTAAGGCTAAACAAAAGACAAACTTAATGCTAATAAGCATTCTCTTCAGTCAACCCTGGGAGTAGAGTAAGTTGGACGTAAAACAAAATACGCGAAATAACTTAAAGAAAAATAAATAAAAGAAAACATAAAAAGCAAAGATACATTCTATAGAAATATACTTTACTCAAACATAAATACTTTACATATAATTATTAAATACATATAAATTCCAATACATAAACATTATATAATATATATTTCTCTTTCACGTGTTACCCCCCCGGGCGTAGTTACATTAAAATCAATAATAAACAAATTACAAAAGATTTGGCGGGAAATTTTTTTGAAGTCTTTACAGATAACGAACGAACTTTTAGAGATGCACAACTGTCCTCTGTTTATCTCCGCAGACTATCTAATAAAATATGTTTGTTTATCTAACCGAGGCGTTCCTGCTTTGGACCGCATCATCACAATGGCAGCGCCGCATCTGGCGCGCCTCTTATCAACCACCAGAAACACCAGTTATTGTTTTGAAGGAAAACATTCGATTTTATCTCGCGCCACATTATTCGTGTTTCCGTCCTTAAGTCGGCGCGGTCATTAGGCAGTTAAAACGTCAATTTTACGGTTCAACTTGGAAGTCGGGTTTTTTTTTCGCCGGCTTCCTGCCGATAAGCCGACCATGTTTAAATTTATTCCGATTACCGCTCTACCAACAGCTATATCCTTTGACTTGTAATTATTACGAAAATGACAACGATGTTTTAACAAAGATGACGCGTGTCTATACTACGCGACGTTTAAAAATTGCTTTGCGATATATGACGTATATACGTGAATTTGACAGATGATATAAAACGTATGGTACGGAAAGAGATAGTCTATAGAGTTGCAATCTAATTACACCAATTGTAATTTGAGTGCCTTAGTTTCCGTGCGCTAGTGTCATGTATTTCATATTTGTATTTAATATAACAATATAATTGTAAAATGAGCCGTGATAGCTCAGTATCAGAGCGCTCGATTTTAATTCATTATACTCGAGTAACCTGAGTTCAAGTACTGGTGCCGGCAACAACGAAATTTTCTACATATTTTAACAATAAAATTGTTAACATTAAGTGCCGACTTATGACGTGATCAGCGGTGAATGAAAACATCGTGAGAAACCTGCATATTTTCGAAATAATAAAAAAAATGGAAGATATGTGAAGTCTGCCTATCCGTAATGGGGTCGCGTGGTGGACTATGCTCTGTGCTGAGAAGGTCTTTGCCCAGATCGATACTTTTATTACGAAAATAATACATTTATTTCAAACACTTTAACCAAACGCTGCTCCAATCTCCAGTCTGTTTAGTACAATAGTTTCACAAATGAGTCCAATGCGTTTCTACTAATTTTCTTTATGAAATGTTGACAAAACTATTTTTACGGACGATTTATCACGTTTATTTTTAATTTTAATCTGTCCCGTGACCATGAACGCTGAAAAGGGTTTGAAACGTCTATAATTAAAAAACACGATAAAGCCGTAAAAATAGTTTCATTTATAGTGTGTGACCGCATAAATATAAGGAATTATCAAATATTGGCTATATAAAATATTCCTGTACGTTCTATTTTTTATCATGAACAAAGTGGCAGTCGATTACCATACCACCGGATGGTAAGTGATCTCATCATATTATAATTTTATGTTCTATCACAATATAATGTCTATAATGGCCTGTTCATTTTGCGTTGCACATGGTCGCATTATCTACAGATAGCAAGGCATAGTTGACGAGTTGTTTTTGTCCTATTATTCTTATATCTAACCTTTATCTAACGTTTAACGGTCACGAATGTTTCGATTTGTTTTAACTTCTGGTCTCTGTAGTGGATATACAACTCAAAATGTACTTTTCTGTAGAAAGATGTACAAATAATTTTGGCATTACAGTATTTGAATTCGAGCCCCCTGTGCATATTTTATACATTTCACATATTAGTTAATTTAGGGAATCGTAACAATCTTGTCTCGTAGATAGAAAATTTGGGTTTATTATGAATACATATATTTTTTTAATTAATCCCTCCTTTGGCATAGCTATTACTCTTATAGAATTATTTTCCTCAATCGCCCGTTTTTGTCGTTAAAAAGCCACTCTTTGGTTAAAACAAAAGCCATGCGTAAAAGATATCTATCGTTTATTTTATTTCATCATATACTACTACACGCTAACCAATGTATACGAGAATAAACATAGCTCATTACTAAAAGAAAATTCAATGTAGTATCAGTTCCTTTTCTATCTGTTCTTTGTATCTGTAAACGGAGTTTTTATTATATCTGTATCTATAGAGCATAACGTTAACATCGACCTGTCGTTCTTTATGTGAAACTTGTAAGGGTACTGCGGCGATCGTTAAGCCGGGCGCGTATTAAATTGGCTCAATAGAGACATCCTAGCCCGTCGAGACGACTCGTCACAACATCCCGAACCTATTAGCCGGTGCCGCCACATGCGCTTGCAACCGTCGCCAACTTCCACGCGGTCAGATTGCCGCTTCCTCTTGAGATCGTCGGGTTAGGGCACCTCCTTATCCAGTAACGGCACCTTTTAATTATTTTCGAATTTGTCATTTGTCAATTGAATGTTTCATCATTCCTTTTCCTTCTTTATTTTTTGGTAAGGCTATCGAAATGTTGTTGAACGTGATAATGATATGTTTCCGTCGAAATAATCGGTTCTATATGTGATTTATTTGTCAAATATTAAATGCATAATGGTATGTGACGTGTAATGTAAAAATGTGATGCATTTAATATGTTTCGAACAAAGGAACATACAGTTTTATATATAACCGATAGATCACAGAGAGTTTTGCATACTAAATTGCAAGTAGACTGGTATATATCTTCTGAAGTCGTTCTCGTTTTGGCGCGTTTGGAAAAAAATATGAAGGCGATTTTTTTCAATTTACACCGTCATAATGATTCCAACTTCATTATGTCGACTGTATTACGATGGGAACCAATAAGAACTTTTTTTTTCACATCTACTACTTTCTCCTTCTCCTTTACTATTAGGTAATTGAGTAGAAGGAAGAGAAGAGAGGGATCGGATTGGAGTTTCGGAGATGCCGTCAAAAGTACCAGGCGGCCATAGCGCAGTGTGGACACGGCCTCGGCGGGCGCGGAGATTGACTCGTAAGCGGTGCGCGTGCAAGATTGTTTCCTCGTTAGCCCGGCCAATTGAGCAGGAGTTCCGCTCCTTGCGGAACCCCTGCCCTAATAGTTAAATTGCCCGAGTGCAAGTCCGTCGGCGCTGGCCCGCGCTATAAAAGCGCCGGTTACATTTGATACTAAATCGTTTATGGGCCATGTCATTGTTGGCTATGTTTAGAAGTTAACACGTAAAACAACAGTTTACTGAAACACAGAAATTAGATGTTTCCCATTGACTGAATAGTATTGAGTAGTGATCGCGATGTTCTCTAATTGGGATATAGAGTTATCTGTTGATGTGAGGTAAACAGTATACGAGTCACTTCGAAGATTAGGCGCAGTTGTTAAGCGATAGACTTATGGGCCACGGAATTGTACGTTCGATTCTCATACGGGACAAGTATTTGTGGGGCCCTCTGATTTCACATTCATGATTTGGGTGTTTACACCATTTTGATTGTATGCAATAGAGATAATGATTTAAAAAGGATGGGCACATTTGCGTGTCCGAAACTCTATATATCAAAATTCGTGTTCTTTTTATTTTAACTCTAAACACATCGCAATTTTGATGTGCTTATTACTGGCAACAATGAAAACGAAAGTAAAATAAAATTAAAACAACACGGAAGCATTAATTTGCTCGATTCCCCGACACGCGAGCGTCTGGCAAAACATTGCCACTGATAGGATCTATAATTTCGCCATTCATTATGCATAAAGACACACTTCCTTGGCGTTCCCCTTGCACTTCATTGTGTAAAGGCGCCCAATATTAGAGCGATTACGCTAACAAGATGGGTGGACAGGTTGTGTGAGTGATTTCCTTTTGAAAATTACAGGGATTTCTTGGCATGCACTTAACAGCCAGTTATTTACGAACTCCAAGTAACATTTCTTAGGAGACGGGCCACGCAGCAGTGTTCAGTTTTGCACGAATGGGCAGGTCCATCCGTGTAAGTACCACGACCTCACAGAAGAGCGTCGTGAAGTGGAAGTGTTATTCTTCTACATTTCGTCTGGAGAGGTATGTAACCGGAGCCCTCTTTATTACAAGGTAGCAACGCATCTGAAGCCCAACGGGTGTTGCAAATGTCCAGGAGCAGTGATTATCACTTAACATCAGGTGAACCGCCCGTTTATTTTACCCACCTTCTCACATAAAAAATTAGAACCTTAAGATTATAATTGAAAAGAGATGTGTGTGTGTCAGTAAATCTAATGTCGTATCGAGATCGGTTTTTTGTTCCCAATGCTGTTTTCAGTTCTCTTTCTAGAGTAATAGGCATATCTCGTCACGTGACCTGATGACGGATTGGCAAAGTTCAGTTATCTCCGCATAATTCACGCAGTTTTCCTTCACCGCCGAGCACTTGTAATCGGCGTCGTAAATTGGAAAAATTTCGTTACTGGAGCTTGGAGTATGAATTTAATAGCGAGCGCCTTGACACTATGACGGCAAATGATTTACTGAGTAAAAGAAAAATAAAGTAACAGCCTATACATGTCCCACTGCTGGGTAAAGACGTCCTCTATAGAGGTTGTCAGGTCAAGACCACGCGAGTTGACTGCGGATTGGCGGTTTCACATTTTTTTAAATATTACTTTTACGTTATTATTAGCAAAATATGCAGGTTTCCCTACGTTGATTTCCTTCACCGCTTAGCACGTGATAAGTCAACACACAAAATTATATGTAATCATTTCATTGATAGTTGAACCTCACAGCATCGGAAACGTGGAACACACCGGTATTTGAATCACAGGGTGTTCGAATATACTGAATTAAAAGGGAGCGACCCCGAACTAAGCTATCGGGTTTATTTACTTTAAGTTCTTATTTACAGGTTACTTAGTAATTTCTCTAAGGTAATATTTAGTGAAACTGATAAAAACTAGCGAACAAAGTGAAAATATCTAACTAATATCTAATAAATAAAATGTGACTAAAATATCCAACTAAAAATCGCAAACGGTAGTAGGAAACACAAGTTTCGTCGGGCCCTAAGTCGGGTTTACAGCCTCAACTTAATTTGCACTTGGGCACTGCACTTGCGAGACTATGAAGGTTGTTTAGGGCAAACTTCTCCGGTATAGCGATGTGGTTCCGTATAATTACGTAACGCGTGGCTGAACAGAGAGCGGGCACATTACAGAAGTCGTTGCAAACGACTCCTTGAGGCCAAAAAGACTCCTGGCCGCCTTCCAAAGTATATCGGTGTCTGCTACCGATCCGCTAAACTTCGTGACACACGGATGTACAAATTTTTGCAACACATAAAACGCACAAAACTTGATATTCAAAGGAATAACCGACTACATTTGTAGGTAAAAATCAATTCCTCTTTAAGGAATAATAAATTTAATCTTCAGTTCCTCCATCTTCTTAAATACATAAATTTCAGTACTATAAAGGTTTTTTACGTCGTCGGCGTTTGAGGAAAGAATGACTTCTCTTCTTAAAGGTTCCCGGGTCGTAACGTTATATTTTTGCTTATCGTTTGTGTAAACGAAACGTTTGTTTATATTAAAAGAAATCTGGGGCACTCTTCCGCCGCTCTACGGGCGCGTGTGTCTCGGACCTTGGGGTTACGAATCGCCCCGGCTCAAGCTCGAGTCGCGGCAGCATGCATATGTAACGGGATAAGTTTCTGCAGTTTTAATGGACGTTGTTCGTAAGTGTAATGTCGGGTAATAACCGTCTGCTGGTGGATTTTACCTCTCTGAGAGCCTTGGTCTCACTGAGGAGTAGGAGCTGACGATATTACCGTACCGTACCATTAACCGGACTTTGTATATTTACTCGATGGACGTCTTCGCTTTTAGTTCTTCAAACTACTTTTTGATCCCTCCTCGTACAAATACGTTTGTAGTGAGATTGGAGTAAGAGTTAACACTGTCGCATTCAAGACTCGTTTAACTTCTTAATTTCCTCAGCGACATATATAGCATTGTTGTGCGTACTCAAATCGATCAATGTCAATTAAATGAAGCGTTGACTCAGGTTGTAGTATCGATAGCTAATTACAGATATCTGCAAAAATTAAATAGACCAACAGAAACCACAAACCCGCGGCATTTTCCTTCACGGCCGATTCTTTAGCAATTTACGACTTATTATAATTACCATGGCTAACTAAAAGCGGCAAGACGTAATAATAAGTTAAAAATAAACGCCGCTTCATGAAAGCGAACGACCACAATTAGACCTAATGCGCTAAATTAGATGTTTCTTGTTGAAACTGAAAAAAAAACATGTGTTCTAATTAATTCACTCGCCACACCTAGCGGCAGTTTATTTATGGTTCCGACGGAAGTGTCAACTAGTCGGCCGACTAATTGGGCGACGGGTAGGCCCGGTCAAGTATTGATGTAATCTTAATGGATGTGACCTCCATCGCTCGAGGTACTCTCATTAACACCATTTTTCTTTTCGGAAAGGTGAGTCTTGCTTCCAAGCACTTTCTGCAGGAAGATCACTCAGCTCAGGAGTGCGCACGCTCGGTCAAAGTACCAGGATCTCAAAGAAGATCGGCGTCGACACGTATTACACCTTTGCATTTCGCCCGGCGATGGGGGTGACCGGACCCCCGAAAGGTTGCCGACACCTGCAATTCCTTAGCGTTTATGCCAATAGACGGCGGTTAACCACTCGTTTACTAATACAACGCTGCCCTGGTGTGAAGCTTGATGGCGGAGTGTTCGCTTTAAATTCAAACGCTCAATATTGGTTCAAATCTCGGAACGGGCTATGGAAATATTAAAACAATTTAAACTGCGGATTCACCACGTGATCTGCGCTTGAGGAAAGAATTGTGAGAAAAATGACACATCTGAGAAAAATTTTTATAATTTGTTCCAGTGATATGCCTAAAAGTACATAAGTAAACTTTGTGGTTAAACTCTATTGAGTAGGCATAGGGTAAAAATTGGGAAATCTGAATTCAAAAGATAGGATTAAAAAAAATAATAATTCAACAATGGTGCGGCGCGGCTTTACACTTAAACCTACAGAAAATTAAAAAAGCACCACACTTTAAAAAAAAATCAAAATTTCACGTAGGAGTCGAAATTCACCAATAGCCTTAGAACATCCGAAATAATTAGTTTAGTAATCTCATTGCGGTAGGTGCGTAGTTTTTATGATTATAGTGTCGTCTTATTTAATCATTTTGATCCCTGGCGACCTCCGGCTGTGCCCCACAAACGCGTCCGTCTTGCGGCTTAATCACTCATTAAGGATATATCCTTTTTACCAATTAATATGCGGACTCGTTTCACGCCTGGCTAGTTAGTTTCGCGCGGGTGTGGTTACACATTTGACTAACGGCGCGCGTGCACGGCCACAGAAAACAAAAGAAAGTTTCCCGCGTTTTTATGACAGCTGTCAAAATATTCTCACGAGCGGTAAAACATTTTACTAGAGAAATATAAATACTGTTTAACTTTAATCATAAGTACTGTTTAATCTTACTAGAATTATTAGTTTAGTTCTTTTAAAAGTTTGCAATGTAAGCGTAATCTAGTCTTATTAGTTTTAATTATATAGAAATACACCGCTCGCGTTGCAAAGGACAGCTGGCGTTAACGGATGCGAGTACAATATGTGATTAATTGCTTCCGACCTTGGACAATATAGTGTGTCTGTGTAACGCAAGTCGTCAACATAGCGATGTGCGAACGCGCAGCGGCAATTAGCGCCAGTGTTTAAGTAGGAAGCGTGCGCGGATGTGACGCTATGGATTTAACCTTTGGCACATCCTATGCCGTCTTGGTTTCGACGCGACTTCGCAATTGGGGCGAGGGTTAATTGTTGAGTCACTGTTCCGAGGCGCCAATGTCCGTCGCAGACGATTTTCACACTTGCAGCATTACGGCTTAATCGGCTTCGTAGAAATCCTATTCCTTTTATAAAAAAACATTTCATTTGCCGTCTGTTTTGAAGCAAAGATGACAAATATTAATTTACCGCCGAGTTTATACATATATTAACTCGCTAAATATGTACATAAGAAAATAAAACATACATTTTATATAGTCTACTTTTTGTTTTATAATGACTTCTTTAATAAAGTTATTATTTTATTCTTCATTTTTTGTTTTATCAGCGATGATGAAATACGTTGAACGTATCATAGAGAACCCGAGTGAATCAAACAATAACTCTATAATAGAATTGTTAAGATTAACACGTTACAGTTTTATACCAGCACATGTCAAACGCTAAGCAAATATTATTATCCGATATCTTTGACGCAACAGATTCTAACGCGCGATATTTGTCAAAACACGAACGAGGCTTTAGCGGTGTAGGAATTTCATTATTTTTTTCCCTTTTGTACATGAAATAGCGGCATCGCTATAAAATTTCAATTATTTATTAACTAAGGGGGATTTTATTCCATTTTAGATCCGGGAATGATGAAGTTTGAAAGCATTTTCATCACTAAATACGATATATTAAAGTAGCCGACATAATTATGTGCTCTCTACCAATGACATTTTAATAAATATATAATCGCCTGACTACTTCGAATCTACTAACGCACACAAGTAACAATCGAAGAAAGGGACAGCACATTAAAAACGTCATACTTAAGTTATTAGAAAGAGATAAACGATGCATGAATGGTAATAACTAATTAAATGTCTCGCAAATATAGCATTTTAATGATCCTAAAACTGAGCGCACCAACAGAACAACACATCTGTTTTAAAATTTTTATAGTACCAATATGCAGACATGCATCCCGCAG